GCGTCACAACGAGGATAAGGCCGAGGGGGCCGAATAGTGGCCAGACAACGCTGATACACCGAAGACATCAATAAGACCCAATATCGCAGCTACCCCTGATGGCTGCGAGGTTGTCTTGGGCAGGGGGGAGCGCAGAGTTACCTCAGCCCGCTGACCGCGACGAGTACCAATCTGGCGACCGAAATGGACCCAGCAATGGTCCTCCTCCTCCTCGTCCTCCTCCTCCTCCTCCTCGTGCGCCGTGCTGGATGCTTCTCACTTCTCCTCCACCCCTCATTTCCCTCTTTTCCTCAAGGTGGAATCCTCGCGTCGTTATCCCCGTCGCTCTCCCTCCTGGGACCCCCCCGTCCTGTGCGGGCGCAGCCGGATCGCGTTTACAAGCTTTTCCCCGACGAAACCCTGCACGGGGAGTGGCGGGGGCGCCAGCCAACAGCAGCAGCAGCGCCGCCCGCAGTTCGAAGCTCGAAAGTGGAGGAGGGGGAGGAGGAGGAGGAGGAGGAGGAGGAGGAGGAGGAGGAGGAGGAGGAAGAGGCGGAAGAGGCGGAGGAGGATCAGGATAAGGGCAAACCCAAGATGCACCAACCGATTCCAAAATACGCCCTCCCGTCCCACGCCTTTTCTTCATAGGTCCAAATGTTCCTTTCCATTGCGGGCGCCCCCCCTTGAGTGACGACTGGCCGGCCGGTCCGACAGTCAGACGAGGGCGCCTGCTGCAATGGATCTTCCGTCCACCTGAAGGACGCCCAGGGTAGCCCCGTTTTGCAAAGCACATCCCCTCCATCCGTCAAAACGCTGCAGGATGTCAGAGTCGTGGACGAATGCTCCGCGGAAGTCCACGCGAGAGCCCTTCAAGGAGATCCAGGGACTAGCGACATCTAAAGAAGGGCATGCCCTCCATCCGTCAAGACGTTGCCGGATGCCATGGCCGTGGACGTATGTTTCGCGGAAGTCTCACACGGGAGCCCAGTTTCGTAGCAGGACCGTTTTCCATCGGTGTTAGATGTTGGGGAATATGGAACGTTGGACCGTAGAGGTCGAGGCAGGTTCATGTGAGTGTAAATACGTAGTGGTTTTGTGCTCGAATGCGCGCGAGGCCAAGGAAAAACCCCAATACGGTGGGGGCATTCGTGAAGGAATGTGCCCAGGAGGCTGTAGAGCCTGGAGGACTCCTTATCTGATGACGGCGGTGGTGATACCCATGGCCGATCCACGATTGGAGTTCTTCCGATTCTAAGGGTTCCTTGACCAAAGCCCCCCACCGTTTTGGGAAGGACTCGCCATGCACTCGCGCAGCTTAGGACAATTTGGATGATTGAATGCACGGCGCCAGGGCAGAGCCTCTTTTTGAAAACGGCCCACCGTCTATCGCTTCTTGGGCTGTGTAGAGCGATGCTGTGCGGCGCCTCCAAATCGAGAGCCCCATTGTGAAAACCGTTTGCGCTTCACGCGTCAACGTCAGAGCCAGCCAAACGTGCCAAAGGACAGACGTATTTTCTGCACGAACGAAATGGGTACGGAAAGAATGGGTACAATGCCCAACAGCAGTTCCTGCATTTTGAACAGGACTCGCTGTCCACGCCGCCGCGGCCTGTGTCCTTTCGAGACAGAAGACCGCCTGCCCAACAGCGGCAGCTGTTGGTTTGGGACAACACTTGCTGTTGGGCATTGTACCAATTCTTTCCATACCCATTTCGGGTGTCCAAATATTTTGGGAAGGGTTCCCCGTGGCTCTCCGTGGTGCACCCGCGGACCAGGCCGAGCGTGGACGTGTTCGGCTGCGCGCAGATTATAAGTCGCCGCCCCCCCTGACACGCCGCGTCTCGAGGGAGCCCAGCGCGTGGAGGTCGCAGCGACCGGCAGAGTATTGCAATTGCCATGGTGGCTTGTTTTTTGCTTCGGGGGTGGACAGACCTCCTACCCTGACAAGTCGATTAGTGAATTGGCCGTTTTCGGCTCGCGAGAGGGCGTCGCGGCCGTCAGTTTTGCGGGTGCAGGTCCGTCGGTTTCGGTCCCAGGCCGTTTTCACTAAGGGGAGGTTTACTAAAGGGAGGTTTGTCCACCGCCGATTCCTGTGCAGCCATGCGTTGTCACGTGCCCCTCTGCGCTCCCTCACACTCGCAGGCCATCCCCAGGGCCCTTCTGCACCACTGCTGCGACTGCGCGCGGAGCAGAGGGCGCGATCGGGCTCGATCTTGGCGTTTGTCGTCGGTGGCGCCGCGACCCCCGCGCCTCCCCAATGAAGGCACGTCGCTCCGGGGGGACGTTTGGCCACCTCCAATCAACGCGATCTGAACCCATCAGCTCGTTGACGTTGAGGCCGACTGCGGCGACGGGGGCGATGAAGATGAGGATGTGGATGCTGGTGCTGCTGGTGGCGACTGCGAGCCTAGGAGCAGTCGGGGAAGACTTGTAGCATCTGGGAGCGTCAGGGAGCGCCTGGGGCAGTCTGGGGAGCGCTTGGGTTCGAAATCGGGTTCGGCGGGGGATGCCCGAAACGTGCCGACGTATGATGTATTTTCGATCGCTGTATTGTTTACGTTGGGCCAAGGGGTAGGTCAACTTTGGGGATCAGCACACGCGCGCCGATTGCATTTTGACATGGGGTGGTGGGGGTTGTGTCAAACAAGTGCGCCGCATGATATGTTTGTCGCGCCAGATGGTGAGGGTTTGGCCAGATTGTTGTGCACCGATATATATATATATATATATATATAGATATACCTATACGACCACCCTTCGGGTGATAAGGACGTTCGGGGGGGGGAGGATGCAGCGTCTCACTCGATCGGTCTCACTATCCATCTCACTGTCGGTCTCGCTCGATCGATTCCACTCGATCGATCTCACAATCGATATCGCTCGATATATCTCATTCGCTCGGTCTCACAATTGATCTGATTATCGACTTCACAATCGATCTCACATTCGGTATCACTGGCGATCTCACTACCGATATCACAATCGATATAACATGCAACGTCATCATCATCATCAGCAACAACACCACCATCTCCATCGTCATCGGGACACAGTCATTTTCACATCATCATCATCGTCATAATCAGCAACGCCATCATCATCATGCCATCATCATCAACGCCATCATCATCTAATCATACTCATCATCATCCTCATCATCGGGACACAGCCATCGTCATCATCACCATCAACATCATCATCATCGGGACACCATCATGGCCACCATCATTTTCATCGTCAACATCATCAACAACATCGGGACACCATCATCATCATCAGCTCATAACCATCATCAGCATCATCAACAGCTCATCAACACCATCGGGACACCATCATCATCAGCAACGTCATCATCACCAAAATCATCAATATCATCATCGGCGCAACATCACCATCACCATTATCATCACCACCGTCATAATCATCATCATCATCATCATCATCATCATCATCGGGATACCATAATCATCATCCGCAGCATCATCATTACCAACATCATCATCAACAACAACGGGCCGAAACATCCTCATCATCTTCAGATCATCATCATCATTAACATTATCATCATCACCAGGACACCATCATCGTCATCATCATCACCATCAACATAACCATCATGATCATCATCAACAACATCATTTTCGGGACACCGACGGGACACCGACGGGACACCGGCAAATCACCGCGGGCCCCTGGCCGCCCGGAAGGGGGACATTTGGTCCGGCCGCGCCTCAGCCACACGGGACACCAGCGGGACACCAGCGGGACACCGCGGGGCCCCGGCCGCCCGGAAGGGAGACATTTGATCCGGCCGCGCCTCAGCCACAGGAGATTTTCTCTCGCCCGCCCACGCAGCTTCGCCTCGCACGCACGGCACGCACGAACACGAAACCGAAACCGATTTCCCGGTAGGGGAGCTCGCCGTTCCACTTCGATCTCACCCCCTCACTTCCGATAATTGGATGGTGCAGGTAGAGCCGTACGTATGAACCCCGGATGCTATATGATGCAGATGATGGCAGTTGTTTGGCCGAATGGATGTGCATCGAGTAGTTTGTCGCATGTAATATTGAGTATTATGCATCGGACGGCGAAGGTTACGTGGTATGGATGTGGGTTCGCGCTTGTAATATTTGCATCGGGTGATGATGGTTGGGCCGGACGGGTGCGCATCGAATGGTGTTTGTTGTATCGGATGTTGAGGGTCGGGTCGTATGGGCATGCGCGGCATTTACGTGATAGCCGCATCTTGACAACGAGCTGGCCTCCATATCCGAAGTTGTTGCACGTTGCTGAGACAAGAGACTGTGCGCTGCGCTGTGGCGAGAGCCACAGTTCGAACGCGAGCTGTAATGTTTTAGGACAAGTGCGCGGGACGCTGGGCCAGGGCGAGAGTCACTTTTTTTCAAAACCGCCCAGGCCCCATCCGTGAAACAATGACAACATTCAAGATCACGGTTGGCGAGGAAAGCTCAAACGATACGCCTGGTCTTGCCTACGGGCACGTCTGGTGGTGCGACAGGGAGGAGTCATTCACAAGGACAAGAAATGGAAGAGGTTGAGGAGGGGGGATGCGGGAGAGGGAGTGGGAAGGGCGATGAGGACGGGGATGCGGCGAAGGAGCAGGCAGGGGGAGCGAGGAGGCCTCAGAGGCCCCATCAATTTGCGCCAGAGCGCCGGGCCTTTGGACGCCTCAATTCATGAGCTGATACAGTGGGGGCCCATACCATGAAACACCCTGCTTGCCTCCAGGGTGCCCTGAGTGTCTTGTCTCGATTGTTCTGCGATGGAGAGCGCGACGCTCCAGCGCCAAAAATCCATGAAGTCCTGAGGTCTCAGGGTTGGGTTTCTTGTGGAAGGGGTTTCTTGCGGTCGGGGCTCCACTGTATAGCACGATGTGATGTTCAGCATCGCTAAGATTCTGCAGCACACTCCCACAAGCATCACCAGCATGTGTACTTCCATACGTGCTCGACTTAAGCAGCTGGCCCGGAACAAAAATCCGCGGGAGCACCTGGCAGGCGGCGCTGGACGCGGGCTTCAAGCTGGCCGCCTATCCCACCATCTTCCTGTGGAGACCGCTGGAGGCGTCCGCCGGCCGCAAACCACTGCGCAAGCGCGGCCCTCAGCCGCTGCTTGGATCGCCAGCGTTGCGCAGCGATCTGGGGCGTCTGCGCCTCACTGTGTGCGACGACGGCGGCAGGACACGCGAGTCCGAGGTTGGGATTCGATCGCTTGCTCAGAGGAGGACAGGGTACCCATACCGCTACCCTTCCCATGTTTCCCTCTTTGGGGGCCTCCTGGGAAGCCTTCGTCGCCACAGCTGGATTCGCCTCAAAACTCTGCTCAGAACGCACCCTAGGACAGGTCTGGGGAGTAGCGGTATCGGTACCTTTTGTATTCCCATATGCACCGCCGGGGGAAAAGCTTTTCCAGGTTCCTCGACAGGCGTTGGCATGGATGTGTTCGCCCATCTATGATTCCACAGATATCCATATCCACTGCTTGCAGGGGGTCCTGAGGAGTCGGTGCCCAGAGCGGTAGCCATGTGTAAATTACCGCTTCGTAGCCAGACCCTCGAGGCACCTCTTGCGGAGGTCGGCCAGTTTGCGAATTTGGCAGGTCTTGCTCTGGCCGGCCCATGCCTCAAAATCTGAGCATGGTTCGAAACCTTGCGCACTTCTCCAACAGGACAGTCAAATCATTGGGATACGTCTTACTTTGGTTTCGAACGGGCTCGATATTCTGCAGTTCTTTCCGTTGTTACCTCTCGGCGTTCTTCCTGCATGTGGGTGCTAGTGATGCCCCAAAGTTGCTTGGTTCCTCGTCCGAGGATCCTGATTTGAAAAGCGCACACGGTTCCTTCTGGCAAAATGTTTGTAAGGTGCCAGGTATGTTTATGTTCTAGGGGTCTTCGTCCAGTGTTGGAGCGCGCAGGGGGTGTTTGGATGCGAGCGTCGCATGTCTATGATCGTGGGCAGAGTGGGGGAGCGCGAACCGAATGAATCTCTGCATTGGAGTTGGGATGTGTCCCATGTCTATGTACCACCTGTCCCCACGTGTCATGCGCACGTGTTTTCAACTCTGTTGCCGACGCCTTAGAGGTCCGACGATATCATGCCTTGAGCTTGCCAGAACGCTCTCACGGAGCGCTCCGAGAAGGCCGCGGTGCCTGAGACACCGTCCAGAGCCGCCAGATCTCAGCGACTCTCGATGCATCCTCGCCAGATGTGATCCCCGTCATGGCTTCGTCCTGCGATGGTTCTGGTGAGCCGCAGTGGCCTGCCCTCTGCGACGCGCTGCCTGGGCTGCGCAGGGCCCTCAGCCGTCCGCCTCCGCCTCGGCCCTGGGCCATCGAGAGTGGCGGCCCGCGACGGAGTGCAGGGACCGAGGGCGTGGGTCCTGAGACCTCCTCCTCCTCCTCCTCCTCCTCCTCCTCCTCCTCCTCCTCCTCCTCCTCCTCCTCCTCCTCCCCGTGGCAGCGGCGCGTTAGCTGCGCCCGTGACCTGGAGATGGGTACCAGGCACGGGGAGTGTGCATTTGGTTGAGAGGCGGGGCCATGTGGTCCGTAAGTCCCTTGGGACCTTGTGTCCGCCCACCCTGGGGTACAAACCCAGTTGCACATGCCATCCGATTCGTCAGGGGTGAAGGTCGGGAAGTTCTGCGCGGTAGCGCGGTGAACCGGTTGTCCCCCTAGGCATCACGCCGTCTCGGTTGGGCAGCGAGTCGCTGAGCGACGAGGTATATGCCTTTCCTCTGACCGTCGGTGCTGGCGCCTGCGGGCCCCTTCCTCCTGTCTGGGAGGCCGAGGGTGACGGTTGTGCCTCGCTCGCCGCTCACTTGTTGGATCTATGACACTCACGACACGCCCTCTCCTCCCCCTTCCACCTCCTCTTTTTCCTCCTCCTCCTCCTCCTCCTCCTTTTCCTCCTCCTCGTCCTCCTCCTCCTCCTCCTCCTCCTCGTCCCTCCTCCTCCTCCTCCTCCTCCTCGTCCTCCTCCTCCTCCTCCTCCTCCTCCTCCTCCTCCTCCTCCTCCTCCCCCTGTGGCCCCGCAGTGCGCGTGGAGGCCCTCTTGCGGCGCGCGTGCCCGCGTGCCGCCGGGGTGCGCGCTGCCCCTCGGCGGCGGGCCCCAGGGGGGGGGCCGGCCTTGGAGAGCGCGGGCCCCGCTCGGAGGGTTCGGAAGTCAGCATCGTTTCACTAGGGGGCCACATGCGAACCTCACCCCTACCCCCACTCAGAAGTCGTGGGGGGCAGGGGTAGGGTTCGCATGTGGCCCCATATTCACCGATCCCCATCCCCATCCCCATCCCGAGTCACACCATCTCGCCACCCCAGCTGGGGAGATCTAAGGGGACAATCAGTGGCATAGACAACAACTCGGAGGTCCGCGCGGATTTCTCAGATCGACGCTCGGGCCCCCCGGCGGCGCTTCCGGCGCCGCTCCTGGCGCGCTCCGCGCGCCAGGGAGGGGGTCCAGCGCCGATCTGAGAAATCCGCGCGGACCTCCGATTTGTTATGTCACTTTTTGTTCCCCTAATCCCGAGCCCCGCCATCTCACCACCCCAGTTGGGGATATACCCCTCGAAACCTGAAGGTAGCAGCCTATTATATCCCCATCCAGGGGGGCAGATCGGCCAGTGGGGCCCAGGCCACACCGGTGGGCATAGGGATCGGTTCGACGATGCTCGGGAGGCCCTCCAGTCTTCTGAGCAGTGTACGCTCGGCCTCCTCCGAAGACAGGGGCTCCGAGGCGGGAGTTTGTCCATAGCCACCGCCTGGGGGGTCGACCTTCGCGGACTTCCACAGGCGATGGATACGGATCTATTCAGGCCTCCTGGGGGCCAAAGTATATCCAGAATCGCCGCCCGCCTTATGGTGTTCCAACCTACTTTTAGCCTTGACCACCGAAAAGAATTTCGAGCACCATCTAAATACCGAAACTCGAGGGTTTTCACGTGTCGGGCCCTGGGAGACACTCTTCCGACGCTGTTTCGACACTCTCTCGACACTTTTCCGGGTGCTCGAAATTACTTTTGGGATGTGGTCCTGAAGTACGATGGGCGCAACATAACGCCCGCCGGTACACCAGGACGTCGGACCCTAGGCGTTGGATATGGCTCGGGGGCCCCCGAACGGTGTGGCGACCAGACCGTGCGGTGAGTCGGTGGGGATTCGGGGTCACCGCACGGTTTTGGGATTCGAGTCCCTCTCCGAGGATGTTTCGGGCGACAGGAGGAGGAGGAGGAGGAGGAGGAGGAGGAGGAGGAGGAGGAGGAGGAGGAGGAGGAGGAGGAGGAGGAGGAGGAGGAGGACAGAGCAGAGCAGAGAGAGGAGAGGAGGAGGAGGAGGAGGAGGGAGGAGGAGGAGGGGAGGGGGAAGGGGGAGGGGGAGGGGGAGGGGGAGGGGGAGGGGAGGGGGGGGGAGCAGGAGGGGGAGGGGGAGGAGGAGGAGGAGGAGGAGGAGGAGGAGGAGGAGGAGGAGGAGGAGGAGGAGGAGGAGGAGAGGAGGAGGGAGGAGGAGGAGGAGGAGGAGGAGGAGGAGGAGGAGGAGGAGGAGGAGGAGGAGGAGGAGGAGGAGGAGGGTCCCGAGACCGTGCGGCGACGGACCGTGCGGTAAGGTCTCTTGGGCTTCCGAGGTCACCACCGCACGGCCTGTGACCGCACTGTTTCGGAACTCCAGAATGTTGGGCCGGACGAAAGGGGGGATTCGAAATTTGCTGCATGCAGCTGGTTTTGGCCCCACCGAGGGGCCCATTCCTCGGTACATGGTCGCCTACCGGCGCTGGGAGGCGCCGGGAAAATCAGCTACGTGAGCTGATTCTCAAACCCCTCCTTTGCTATCCCCCCTTTTCGCCCGGCCCGATCTGTGCTGCCCATCTTTCTCCCGAGTGCTTCGCGCGCCCCCGATGTCCCACCAGGTACAAGGGCGCCAAGACGGCGGACGCGTTGCTCGCGTGGGTGGACCAGGTGCTCGCCGGAGTGACGGCGACCACGGCGGCGCCATCGCGGCCTCTGGCGCCGCACAGCGATAAAAGCCGTCCTAAACTTGTACTCAAGGAGGAGGGAGGAGGAGGAGGAGGAGGAGGAGGAGGAGGAGGAGGAGGAGGAGGAGGAGGAGGAGGAGTGGAGTGGAGCAATCGGACGTAGTCCGTTCGGAACCCAGAGATGCCAGGGGGGCCATCCAGTATTTCTCGGAGGGCCGTGGGGGGCGACATCCCACGGCCCACCGCGACAGGCCCCCCTGGCCTCACAATTTACTCGGAGGCAGCTCCCGCCGCGTAGGAACCGATCGCGGCTTCGGCTGCCGAAACGTGCAAAGCCTCTAGCACTGACTTGCTGGGACCCGATCTGGACGGGTGGAGGCCTCGCCTGATCCTGCTGAGGTTCTCGAGGCCTTTGCCAGTGGGTCCCAGGGCCCTGCGCTCTCCCACTTGGTGGGAGAGAGGGCACGGCAAAAGTAGGCTTTTAACCTGGTGCGTGGCCGTGTGGCCGCACTTAACACAGAAAAACAATTGCCACTTGGGGATGGTGGCCAAAGTGTGGGAGGGGTGGATCAACTTGCCACTGATCACGCGGGGACCCCTCGACCACAGCACCTCTCCACACGCAGCGAACTCGGGAAGGGGGCAAGGCGGCACACACTCTGTGGCGGCAGCTGGAATAACGTGGCAAGCGTCAACGATGATGAGGCAGGCAGGGCATCTCCATTTGTCTGCACACCGCTCGAATTTGTGCTGAGAAGCCGCGATCGCGGTCTGCAACTGAGAGCGCGGGGCTGCCTCCTGGTTGGATTGCCTCTCTGGCCACTGTCCTCGAGGCTCTGAATTCTTGCCTAAAGAACGTAGAATCAGTCGTGCCCTCTGTCGGACGATGGCTGCAATAGCGTCGTATTCATCGGTCCTGGGGACGGGCGGGAGGGCAAGGGTGGCCGACTTGTGGGCCGCGCTTCCCGCGAGCTCGTCGGCATGCTGGTTGCCGAGAGCCAGAAATTTTTGGAAACCATGCAACGTGAGGGGATCGGCGTGAGATGGGGTCCAGAGCACCGTGACAGAAGAGCAGCCGCCAGATCGATCTTGCACGAGGTGCCGAATTCTCAGCCAGAGATCCCCATTCTTATTCTTGCCTCTGAGGCTGCCAGGTCTGAGACATCTGCCATTCTGCCAGCCGCGCTGCAGGGCTAGGTGATCAGTAACAAACGTGAAATCCTGCTGGCACGTCTCCAGTGCCAGGCAAAACGCATGCAATTCGCCTCTTGGGACGGTCTGGCGGGGGCCTGGGAGGGGGGCGAGGAGGCCCGCGTGGAGGGTCCAGGAGGCCGAGGGTGGGTCCCATCGGAGGGCCGCGAGGCCAGAACCAACACGGCGTCGCCTGACGTCGTCGGAAAAGGCGCCGCCAGACCCGTCGCCAAAAAGAAACAACTCGCCCTCAGCGTTACGAGCTCCTTCCCACGACGGCAACCCCTCCCGCACCGCACCAACAAACTCCCACCCGTCCCTCCCAGTCAATGGCTCGAACGCGGGCGTAGTGAGAGCGACAGAGGGGATGCCACGGAGCCACAGGGCAGGGTCAGCATTGGCCCCCGCCACGGCTCGCGGTAGTAACTTGTCACTGGCCTCAAACTCAGGTCCCACATTCGCCTCGCACTGCCACATTCGGTGAAACAAGGTTTCAGGAACTCCTGCGCTGCATCGGTCGCAGTTCTTGTCGATCTGGTAGCCCGCGTTGTGGAGGCGGTCTCTGGTCCATTGTCCACCACTGATGACGGTGTTGTTGAGGGCCCAGTCGCTGAAATCACCGTTTGCGAGGAGCCTCCTTTGTTCAATGCGGATGGTGACCATGTCCGCACCTCCAGCCAGCGTGTCACCATGGTCATGCGTAGCGGCCTGAGTCCAGAGGAGCCTGTGCAAATCCTCGCTGAGGTCCTGCAATACTGCGTGGATGTCGGCGTCGAGGAGGTCAGGGTCATCGGCAGGGGGGAGGTTCCACTCCTCGATGTAGCCGTCCTTCGTGCGTCTCCACGTGGTAGCTGAGGTCGGGTCCCAGCTGGCCTCCAGCAGGGTCGCGATGGCCGCGCCAGTGGGCCCCTTGACCCTGCACCACAGCTTGGGGCCTGCGGCGAGCAAGGTGGTCTTGATCCTTGGCCATGCTCTGATGATCCTGGCGTGCGTGCTCGGGTGGCGTATCCAGTGCTGCAGCCAAGCCTCGATGAATTCGATCCTTAGGGAAACTCCTGGGTCCATGCCGTCGAAGGTGGCGCCGAGGAGGGAGGTGAGGCATCGGCCCGCTGCTGCTCCCGTGGCCGCAATAGCGGCCTGACGCCGCCATCGTAGTAGAGCGTGCCGAGCGAGGCCGTGCACCTGATGACCGAAAACTCCTTCGGGGAGAGCGCCAGTACGCCACAGTCCTGCTGAGATTCGAGCCTGCTGAGCAGTGCTCCGTAGTCGGTGTATCTTGCGAAACCTAGCTGCGGCTGAGCTCTGTCGCTTCCTGGCTTTGGCTTGTGCCCGTCGAGTAGCCGCAGCCGCGTCAACTCCGAGGTCGACGGCCGTGGCGGTCGCAGTAACTGGGATGTCGTACTGCCGCAACTTCTTGGCTAGCGATTTGCGGACCTTGGGGGTGGAGCCGATGAGGACCGTCTTGTCAGAGATAGGCAGCTCGAACTCCTTCAGACCGTCGCAGAGCGTCTTGGCGGCACGGGGGAGGTGCTTCTGCAGTGTGCGTAGGACTCCTTCGACTCGAAGGACAGTGTCGTCTACGAAGGTCCACATCTGGGCAAGCTCTGCCTGAGCTTGGGCTTGCCGTAGAATAGGAAGTAATATGAGTCGTGCCAAGGTCGTGCCGTGCGGGGAGCCTGCGATGATGCCTTTGGAGGCGAAGATAGGCATACTCACCCATTGTCGACTGCGCAAGAATCTGGGCGCCAGGTATAGCTGCACTTCCAGTAGTAGAATGATGGGGGGAAAGCCGCAGTTGAGGCCGACCATAATGAGGTTGGCGAGCTTGATATTGTCGTAGAACTTCTGGATGTCTAATAGCAATGTGGCTGACTGTATGCCAAGTGCTGAGGCTGTCTCGTCTAACAAGGCCCTGTGTAGGGCGGCCTGGAGAGCTGAGGAACCTTTGATGGCTGTAGTCCAGAAGTCGTCCAGGCCTTGGGTCCAGGATGTAGATGCAGTCGATCTGATGCGAGACCAGAGTCTGGCCATGTGAGGTAGCATGCCGAGGACCCTGTCGCCTCCAGACTTCTTGGCTGCGAGGGCTGCAATAGTGCCTGAGATTTGTAGTGGCCAGATGCCTGCATGCTCTACTGCGTTGAGGATATCCGCATAGGCTTCGACTGCTGGTTCTGGTAGTCGATGGAGGTCGCGAGGTCCAAGGGCGTCAACTCCATGTGCTTTACTGGGTGGCATGCGGCCGTGAAAGCGGTGTACGATTTCGGCTGTGATGGGCTCGAGTGGTTGGCGAGCGGCTGCTGCCTTGGCCTTTGACAGCGCCTGTAGGATGTCGTCGGGGGTCTCGGTGGCCTGCCATACTTGTTGCCATTGTTGCTTCTTGCTGTCCATGATAACGGTGGGGTCGGCAATGGTCTGGTTGGTCGTGTAGGCCTCGATGTGACGTACGGGCGCAGGCTTGACATGGGCGTGTAGTACTCCAGGGCGGTGTTTCCATTGCTTGGCGAGCCAAGCACCGTAAGCCCTCTTGGACTTAGCGAGGGCTGCGGAGAGCGCTCTGGAGGCCCAAGTAGCGGTAATAGTGACCAAGTCGTCGGTGTCCTCGTTGTCCAAGTGCGGGGCCCAGACGAGTGCAAACCAGCGGAAAATGGTGTCCTCGTCCTTCTCGAACTGGAGGTCGTGGAAGTGAGTGTTGAAGTGGTCCGCGCGCTGCTGGATGATGGAGGCCTGCTGCTGCATGAGCGCTGCGTGCTTGGGCTTGTCGTGAAGCGCAGCGTAGCGCTTGATGAGGGTGAGCGTGATTGCCCACCATTCCGACTGAGGGTCATGTACGTGCACGCGGCCTGGGGCGGCGGCCGTCTTCTTCCAAGACAATTGGTAGCCTTGGGCTCGGCCTGTGAATGCTGCGGCTTCCTTGGGGTCGATCTGGTGGTGGCTGATCATGGTGTTCTCGAGCGCCGTGACCCATTTGGCGTACTTGAGGTTGAGGTCGTCGGCGTCGTGCACCCAGTGGGTGTACGCGAAGTGCGCGTGAGGCTGCTTACAACGTGTGGGTACAGCTTGCTGCCATTGTTCCTCCCAGAGGTCGCTCGGGATCGCGTACGGGATAGGCTCCTGTGCTGCTGGCTCGTCTTGTGGCTGGAGTTGTGCTGCAGCTTGTTGGAGTTCAGGAGGTAGATCGCGTAGGCGTGCTGCTCGAGCTTCTGCTGTTTTACGTTTCTTGATTGCGGTCTTGCTGTTGGGGTCTGGTGGGATCCTAGGTCTGTCCACTATGGGGAATGCCCTAGGGGTATGGATCGACTGATACCACCAGGGGTCTGCGCTGCCTGCTCGAACTTCAAGGCCCACGTGGGTGGCCCAGGGGGCGGTGGGGCATTGGCGAATGGAGAACGTGTGCTCGATGCCAGTCTTGACCAATGCGAAATCGAGCGTGAGTCCCTGGCCCTTGTCGCACGTGGCGGATCCAGGCGCTCGCACGATGGTAGCATTCCATTTGGCGGGCCACTCTGTTGCTGCGAGCTGCTCAGGTGTCATATTCCAATCGGCCAGGATGATCCACGGGTCAGTGAGCATAGTAACGAAGGCTCCCAGCGAGAGTAACTTATCGTGCACTGCACCCTCGATCTGCCTGTGGGGTTCCAGATACGCTGCAATAACAACCAGGTTGCCAGAGCGTCTGTGCCATACCATGGGCGTGAAGCCGCGGAACGGGTCGGGCCTGCGCTGGGAGATGGCCAGGTCGCGGAGGTGGTTGAAGGTTGTGGCCTGGACGTGGTACCTGGATAGGATCATCTCGCCACCCGTGTTGCCTCCGTCGGATCTGCTGGTCGGCGTGGCTGTAGTCGATGATATCCTCCAACCATCCGCTGCTAGCTTGTCGTAGATGAAAGGGGGCTTTACCATGCGAGATGTGTGTTTCAACCAATGCCACCATCTGATATTGTTTGCCTGGCCCTGCCAGCCATTTCTCCGACTGCGGCCCCCACTGAGTAATGTTGGAGAAGAACAGGGAGTGATCTGACGGCGTGGGATTCGTAGGGCCTTCGTCCTGGTAGGCGGGTCTGGGGTCGGGTCTCGGGCTGCTGGGCTTCCAAGGGCCTTTCGCAGCGGTCAAGTCGATAGCTTTAGCCATCTCATCGCCCCCTACCAAGGACTGCGTCTTGGGCGGGGCGGCATCAGGGTGTGCCGTTGGCAACGGCTCCCCTGGTACCTGTACCATATGCTTGTCGACAGCTTGGGCCGTCTCATCGCTCCCTACCGAGGACAGCGTCTCGGGCGGAGCGGCATCAGGGTCGGCTCGCGCGGCACGCTGCGGCTGCCCTGGGTCCCATGTCACTGTGTCGACGGCCTGTGCCGCCTCATCGCCCCCAACCGAGGACAGCGTCTCGGGCGGGGCGGTAGCGTACTGCGCTGTGGCTGCGAAATCGATGTGGGCGTCCAACTCGGCCAGCTCGTCGAACGGGTCGAGGACTGCGTCCATTGTGTTGATGATCGGTGGGTTGTCGTAGCTCTTGGTCTCTGACGGTAGGCGTCCCGTCTCACCAATCCGTCCAGGGTCGGGTAGTAGTCGGCTAAAGAGGCTGCTGGGCTCCAGCCACGGCGGTCGCGGTGGGCTTGCGCATCTGGCTGAGCATCTTCTGTGCCTTGTCTTCGAGGTCGGGGTCCTTGTTGATCGCTGGTACAGGCTGTGCGGCGAAGCTGCCGTCAGAAGTAGCGCCAGCAGCAGGTGCGGGAGGCTCATCGCTTGGCGCCGCTGGCGAAGAGGCCGCAGAGCCATCAGCGTCCGCTGCGGCTGCCGCTGGGGGTTCGCCTGCTGCCGCCGAGGCGGCGGGCGGTGGTCCACCTCCCTCTCGGGCATGACCGTCCTCGTCGGACCGCTGCCGCTTGGAGGCGAAGCGCGTGCGCATGGTGCTGGCCTCTGCGCGGAGCTGGCTGATGCGGCTGGCGGTGTTGCCGAAGAGCTCGGTGACCTTGGCCTTGAGCTCCGTGGCGAAGCGCTGTTGGAGGGATTCCCATGCCTGGCGGTCGCTGTCGTCGATGTCAAGGCCTTGGAGATCGAACGCCGAACCCGCTTCGATGGATATGTCACCGTCCTCGAGGAGGCTGGTGAGGTTGAACGTTGGGTTCTGCTGCGAGGTCGTGGGAGTAGCCGTGCCGCCCTTGCGAGCGACTTGGAGTGCATCGAGAGCGGCTTGGGCCTCGGCCTGGGCTTCTGCCAACTTGTAGGCGGCCTCCTCCGACGCCGCCTTGCGCTCGGTGTACCAGCTGAGCGCCTTTTGCTCGCTCTCGAGCAGCCTCTCCAGGTTGTTCTTGCAGCGGCGCTCCGTAGCCTGGGCGCGGCTGTAGATGTCGTTGAGGTCGGCTGGCTTCTGCGGCTGGGGCGGCGGAATCTGCGACTTGATACCGTCGATGGCTGCCTTGTCGATGTGGGGGGCGATCGCCTGGAGCTCCGCAAGGATGTCCTCTGCGGAGCGCGCCTTGGGGGTGTCGTTCTTGTTGGCCCACCAGTCGTCCTCTTGGTTCTTGCCATTGCCATTGCCGCGGCGGCGGCGGGACTTGGGCCATGACGCCCACGGTTCCCATCCACCGTCAGGGCTGGGCTGCTGGGTGCAGCTGGAGTCGGCCTGGGCTGCGGCCTTGGCGCGGGCCGCCCAGGCACCTTGAACTGGAGGCGGGGAATCTGTCCACGGCGCCAAGGCTTTGCTGCACCAGTAGCACGTCTGGTTGGTCTTGTAGTTCCAGGCGTACGAGCAGGAGTAGCACTTGACGTAGGCGCTGCGCTGCTGCGGAGGCGCCATGGACGAGCTGAGGAACAGAGGAAGCTCACCTGCGGGCTGCAGGAGGCACACGGAGGGTTGAACAAAGCTGTCGGGCTCAAGAGCCCTGGCACTGGCCGCGGACTAGCGGTATCCACTTGTTCCACTGTGGAACTAGGCATCTTGAGCCAAAATGGCTACGGAAGGAGGAGGAGGAGGAGGAGGAGGAGGAGGAGGAGGAGGAGGAGGAGGAGGAGGAGGAGGAGGAGGGGGGAGTTGGAGGAGGAGGAGGAGGAGGAGGAGCTCCTCGTCCTCCTCCTCCTCCTTCTCGTCCTCCTCCTTCCCCTCCTCCTCGGCGGAGGGCGGCGGACGGCCGGCGCAGGCCTGCGGACGCAGCAGGAGGGCGGCTCCGCGCCACGGGGAGCCAGCGGGAGGCTGGCGGAATCCGGCGGAGGGAGAGGAGGCACATGTTCTTGTTTGAGGTCCAAAAACGGTGCGGTGACAGACCGTGCGGTGACCTCGAAATCCCCCAAGACCTCACCGCACGGTCCGTCAACGCACGGTTTTGGGACCTCGGATGCCCCTGTCGCCCGAGACATCCTCAGAGAACGACCCGAGTCCCAAAACCGTGCGGTGACCCCGAATCCCCACCGACTCACCGCACGGTGTGGTCACCATCCCGTTTGGGGGCCCCCAATCTTGGGGTGGTCCTGGTGTCTGTCAAGCAGTGGCGAGGCGTCCTGGTGCCCTCACAGGCCTGCCAGGCAATGTTCTGAGGACCTTTCCTGGTTTCCACGACGTGTTCTCAGAACCTTTCTGGCTGGGGCCGTCTTGCTTTAACACATCGGGCTTGGGTTCTAAGAACATTGTTTTCGTTCTTAGAACATTTTGGGCTTCTAAGAACATGTCGTGGTAGGCCTATAGGGATGCCGGGACGGTCGGCCCCTGCTCAAGTCTCGAGCCCGCCGCATGTGCCGAGGCGGCTTCAGGACCTGGGGGATTCTTTCGCCGATGAGGGCGGCGGTGATACCAGATATGGCCACTCCACGATCGGAGTCGCACTGGCTTCCAGGCCCTGAATTCCTGATCCAGTGGTTTCTATTCCAACGCCCTCCCCCGATGGTTTTCGGGTCATAACTTGGGCCTGCGGCGGCCGTTCGGGACGATCCGGGCAGCCCCGTGCGCCCCTAGTCGAGGCGCAGCCGTCGGAAGGCATCCCGAGGCTGGAAGCCGCCGAGAACCATCGAAGACGTCCGAAAACCTCAAGCCTCGGTCCGATGCCCTCAACGTATCGTGGCGGGGGCCCAGGGCGACGCATCGCCTCGTATTGCATGGGGCATCCAGGGGCCAGGGCTCTCGAGCAGCGCGCGGTGGTCAGAGCAGGGCGCCGGAGCTCTCGGGGCCTGGCAGGCCCGCCCCCCCAGGCCACCACAGCAGCCACGGCCAGTCGCTTGACATTGTGATTGCGTTGGCGCCTGTCTGACTTCTGGACCTGGCGGCGGCCCCCTTGGCTCGAAGACGAAGAAACGCCATCAACCGAAACTTTCGGCGCTCCGTGCGGATTCTTTGGGCTTGCTCTGGGCACCCCTGGCGGCGCCTCTGGCGGCGCCTCTGGCGGCACCTCCGCGCGCCTGGGAGGGGAGTTCAGCGCGGATCCAAGAGATCCGCGCGGACCGTCCAAAGATGTTTATGCCTGTGTGAGTTCCTTTGTTTTCTGGACCCAGCGGCGGCTCCTCCCTTCACATGCGGGCGTCGTGACGCAAAAGCAGCTCGACGGGCTTCTCGCTGGCCTGCCCACGCTCGGGCCGCGGGGTCCTCACGGATCGTCCTCGCGCAAACCGCTCCGCGTGATGACCAAGACGGGGTCGAGAGCCCCAGCCGTGCTCTTCCGCGGCGGCCGTGCTTTCTGCTCTCGCGCCGCCCGACCGTCGTGGGCCTGTCTGACCCCGCTGGCCCTCCTGGCGACCGAAACGGCCACGGCTCGAGAAGTACGACACGGCGGACGAGGGCGTGCGGGCGTGGCTGCGGGCGGTGCTGGCGGCGGTGAGCAGCGCCGACCTCGCGGCGGGGCCCGTGCTCCTGCACTGCCGGAGCGGCAGGGACCGCACCGGAGTCGCCACGGCGGCGGTGCTCGCACTCCTCGGGGTGCCCGACTCCGCCATCGTCGCGGAGTTCTTGCTGTCCAGCGGGGCGGAGGGCGCCAACATACGCCGGGCCCTGGCAGGCTTCTGCGCGGCGGGCGGCGCGGCAGCCTACCTCGGGGGGCCAGGCGCCCCAGACGTCCGCGCCAAGTTCTCGGCGGAGGGGGCGGGGCCGCTCGAGCTCGGCTGGCTGCGGCGAGACGTCGAGCTGGCCTGCCGCCTGGCCCGGGACGCAGGCAGAGGGGGCCCCGCGGAGGTGGACGAGGAGGCCGCGCGGTACTGGAGGAGGGAGGCGGCCTGCGCCAGCGGCCTCCTGGCGGGCAGGGTGGCGGTGGGCCACGACGCGGCGGCGGCGCTGTTCTGCAAGGGCTGGGCCCTCGGCCAGACGGTCTGGCAGGCTCCGGGTCGCGGGCCCGACGCGGCGGCGGTGACGGAGGCTCGGGAGGCGCTCTCGCTGGCCAGCGCCTTCCTCGACCGGGCTGCCGCTGCGGAGGGGCCTCGGGCGGGCGGCAAGAGCGAGGGCCTCCGGAGGAAGATCCAGAGGGAGCTCGCGGCGCTGCCCGCGGGCGACGGGCACGAGCTGGGCGAAGAGCTGACTGTCCTCGACGTGGCCGCCGCCGCGGAGTCCCCCGGAGATCCGCACGCGGGCCGCCTGGTCCTGCTGGCGACTTCTGCAGGGGGCCGCTGGAGCACGCTGCCCTGCCCTGCCGCCTTCTCCTGGCTTCGCTGTGGCGAGCTCGCGGCAGCAGCGACGCCGGCCAGGCAGCACCTGCTTGCGTTGGACGCGCTTGGGCTCCGGCACCGCGTCGGGGCAGAGCGGCTCGGCGCGCCTCGGGAGCCAGTCGACCACTGGGAGGACGTGGTGGCGCAGGTTGCCAAGGCTTTGGCAGGGGGCTCCGGCTGCCTGGTGTACTGCCCGAAGAGCAAACAACGGCGTACACACAAACTTTCGACGCTCCGCGCGGACCGTCAAAAGTTTAGGTGTATGCAGTCTTTTGTTCGTCCAACTGCGGCGACGGGTTCGGGGCATCTGGCGTGGCCCTTGCTTGCTTCCTTGTTGCGCACGGGCTGGACGAGCCCGTGGCGGCCGCGGCCAGTCAGCCCAAGATGACCGCGGGCGAGGCGGTGGAGGTCGTGCGGGCTCTGCGTCCAGGCTCTCTGGCGTCGCTGGAGCACGAGGCTCAGGTTTCGGGACGGTCGAAAGGGGTACGGGAAGCACTAGTAGAAAGACCGGCAGCAGTGCGTGTTCATTTTGAACAGGACGCGCCGTCGGTGTCGCCGCGGGCGTTGTCCATTTGAGACGGAAGGTTGCCTGGCCAGCAGCCGCCGCCGTGGGTTTGTGACAGCACCTGCTGCTGGACATCGTGCCGATGTTTGTCCGTGCCAGTTCCGGGCGCCCAAGAGGTGCAGCAGTTTGCGCAAGTGGCGTGGGGGAGGCAGATCTCGAAAGTGCAGCAGGCGTTCTCGGGGTCCTCCCCCGCGCCCGAGAGGCCCCAGGCGCCCACGTCCGCCAGAGTGGTGAAGCAGCCTGGCGACGGCAACTGCTTGTACCACTCGCTGGCCTACGGCCTCGGCGCCCCCACGGTGGCAGCCGCGGTGCTGCGAGGGGCCATTGCCGGCTATATGGAGGAGCACCCCGAGTTGCTCATCGCGGGGACAGCCTTGGGGGAGTGGATTCAGATGCTCACTGGTCAGAACGTCACCCAGTATGCGCGGAAGATGGCCAAAGGGTCGCAATGGGGAGGCGCCCCAGAGATGGCGGTTTGCTCGAAGATGAAGAATGTGAACATCCACGTCTATGAGCGTCGCGGCGCATCTTTCGAGCTCACTGTTCCCTTTGACGTGGGCAGCAGCCAGACTGTCAGAGTGCTTTACGTTGGTGGGGTGCATTACGACGCTTTGGTTTTCTGATTGCTGGGTGGCATTGACGGGGCCAGGATTCGTCTGAGGAGGTCGGCAGCTTTCTTTCCTTCAGGAAATGTGCAGCTCTGCTGGTCTGTACAGGCTCAGGGAATGGCCCCGACGTGCACCAAAACAGTCGCAGATCGCAGCGCTCCTGGCTCACCTGGGAGGCCGTCGGCAATCTTGGGGCCGTCTCGGCGCGCATGCTGGACCGCTGGGGGCGACGTCTGGGGCGGCATATGAACGGAGTTTCGGTCTTCGCTGGCCTCCCGGAGGAGACTTCCGGGGCCCCTCTGGGGGACTGCTGGGGCCGGCTGGGATTCTGTCTGGGGTCGCCAGGGCCCTCCTGGGAAGGCGCGGTGCCTCTGTTAGATGTCTTCGTACGGCGACGAGATTTGCACACATCTCTGCCGCCGCTGGCCAGGCCCCTCCTGGGCCCAGGAGCGGTGCACACGCCCTGTGGCTGGGCCAGGGAGGCGTCGACACGGCTCCTGGGCCCAGGATGGGCCCGGCCAGCAGCGGTGGCCATGTATAGATGCCGCCGCCCTATCTTCGGGCCGTCTCGGAGGGTCCGGTGGCCAGCTTATCCGAGGTGGGTGTGTCCGCGGCCGCAGGCGGATCACGAGCCAAGAGTGGGGCCGTCTTGGGCACACCTCGGGCCCCCTTGCCGCCGAGACGGGGCGAGCCCCAGGGAGGCTGGCTGGGGGAGGGGAGCCTCCTTCGATTCGATGCATCGCTCTGTGTTTTGTGCCGTCCATTCTGTTCGCGTCGCAAGAGCTCTGTGCTGGAGCGGCGGTCCTGGCCGACTTGGGGCCACATGGCCCCGTGGGGTCACGGGGCAAGCACGGGGTCACACCAGCCCCGTTGTGCTCCCGAGGTCCCGCCTCCCGGGAGGGCCCCCGAGAGTGGTTACATAACATGCCTGCGAGCACGGCTGCGTGAATGCCGCAAGTTGGCAGCGCTACAAACTGGACGCGGCCATCCGGGGGTCCGTAGCCGTCTTGGCTCAATGCATCCGAGCATCTAGATGCTGACCGCGACAGCGCGCTCGAGTCTGCCAGCGCCCCGAGTGCGGGAGCGCGCGGTGCTGTGCGTGGCCACCCGCACGGCTGGGCCAGTCGCCCGGATCCCAGCGCCTGGCCCGCGGCGCCAGCTGCGGCCGCCGTCGCCTCGCAGCCGTCTGTGCCCGCTGCGCCCGGGCACTGTTGGGGAACGAGCAGTGGCATAAGCACCACAACTCGGAGGTCCGCACGGATCTCTCGGATCGGCGCTGGACCCCCCTGGCGGCGCCGCCCTGTCGCCGCCCCTGGCGCGCTCCGTGCGCCAGGGAGGGCGGCCCAGCGCTGATCCGAGAAATCCGCGCGGACCTCCGAGTTTTTGTGTCTAGGTCATTCTTCGATCCCCTTACACTGGGCTGCATGTCCAACGTGATTTTGAGATTCGCGTTTCTGACCACCCTCATATTCTCCTTCTTTTTGATGGAGGCCGATGCAGTGGGCGCCCTAGCCTCGTCCAGCTGTGGGCCCTTGCCCTGCTCAGCACACATCCAGGAACGTTCAGAAGGTATCACGAGAGAGGCATGCGGGGCCGGCGGTGTGGCCCCTCCGCCGTGGGGCGCGGCCGCGGGCAGCTGCGCGTTGTTCCCCGCGGCCGCGCGCGAGGCCCCGCCGTTTCGCGGCAGGCAGCGGGCGGGCGGCAGCAGCAGCGGCGGTTGCACGGGCTCGGTGTGGCGGTTGGCAGCTCTGGCTTCTGGGGTGCATCCTACCTCCCCGGCCGTCAATGGTCAAGCAGCAGTGGCGAAGCGTCCTGGCTCGCCTATAGGCCCACCAAGGAATGTTCTAAGAACCGTTCGTGGTCTGCACGAAATGCTCTTAGAACATTTCTGGCTGGGACTGTCTTGTTTCAACACATCGGGCTTACGTTCTAAGAGCATTGTTTTGGTTCCTAGAACATGTCAGGGTTCTAAGAACGTGTCGTGGTATTGGCCTATAGAAATGCTGGGACGGTCGGGCCCTGCTCAAAAAACTGAGAAAAACGGGACAAACGTAAACTTTGGACGGTCCGCGCAGATTTCTTGGATCCGCGCCAGACCCCCCTCGCTGGCGCGCGGAGCGCGCCAGGGGTGGCGCTGGAGGCGCCGCCAGAGGGGGCCCGGCAGCGCAAGGCCAAGAAGCCCGCGCGGATCGTCAACAGTTTACATCTAATGCAGTCTTTTGCTTCTGCCCCCCCATCACCCGCCTGGCCTCCTGAAACTGGCCTGCGTCCTCGCTCCGCCCGCGGCGGTCCGATGGCCGAGGCGCGAGTGTCGTGCGGCCTTCGTCGTAGCGCTCCCAGCCTATCCCGCGCTGTTGCGCCGCTGGCCCGGCCCAGGCCGCTTGGGAGGCTCGCCGTGGGTGCCGGAGATGACAGGCGCGGCGGCCGCGCCGCTAGATGCGCTGCGGGGGCTTCTGAGAGACAGGGACTTGGGCCGCGCGTGTCGCAGCTATGTAAGTTGCGGCGCGGTGCTGGGAGCATTGCTTCTGCTTGGGCTTTTTGGCATGGAGAGCCTTGTGCGTGGCCACTGCGGCTGGTCTGCAACAGCCGGCAGACTGGGATCTTTGCCCTGCAGCATCTTTGACCGTCGCGCATACCTCCTTACTAACGTCGCAGATCTTGAACGAGGGCTACCACAGGCGACAGCAGTTTCCCCAGTTGCTCCGAATTCTGATGCAAATGGTTTACAGAACCTTCAGGCTCCCCGTGCTCTGGGCCTGGCTCTCTGCCGCCCTACAAGCCACCGTTGGTGCCCGAGCGTCCTGGCCGATGCTTGTCGCTGCAGCCAACAATTGTTGTTCTGCAACTTGTTCTCCTTCCTCCCCCTTCTTCCTCCCCCCTTTGTCCACACGGGCGTACGCCAAAGCATATTTCCATGCTGTGGAGCTGCCTCGCGGGCACGGCCGCGATGGATCAGTGTTGCTAGTCTGACATTGCCGAACAATGAACGTGAACAGAGTGCTCAGATCAATCATTTTGTTGGGGCAGAGGTGTATGTGGGGGGGCCATGAACGTTGATGGTTGGTGCTGCGGGTCTCTTGCGTGCATTTCCTGGTGGTGTGTGTTCGCATTTCCTGGTGCTGCGCGTCTCTTGCATGTCCTGGCGGATCACCGTCGCCAGCATTGGCGCCAGCATAGCCCAGAGCAACGACGCCAGCGTCCTCGCCAGCACAGTGCGGATTACCAACTCCAGCATCCTCGGTCCAGCACCTTCGCCAGCACAGCCAGGTGCATCGACGCCAGCATCCTGGACAACACAGCGCGGATCACCGACGCCAGCACTTTCGCCAGCATTGCTGGGAGCACCGACGCCAGCATCCTCGCCAGCAAAGTCGGGAGTCACAACGCCAGCATCCGTGCCTGCATCCTCGCCAGCGCATTGTGGACAACCGGCGCCAGGATCGTCGCCTGCATTGCCGGGAGCACCGAGGCCAGCATCCTCGCCAACGAAGATGGGTGTACGGACGCCAGCCAGCATCGTCGCAAGCACAGCGCGGACCACCGGTGCACCAGATCAGAATGACAGCTCGCAGCCGCCCTGACCTTTGCGGCGAACCCCTCACACGTATCGTGGCCCTTTAGGAGGCTCCACCGATTGCCCCGGCGGTAGGGTCTGCATGCCGCCGCTCCGACAATTTTGGAAGCTCGCAGAACACGACATCCGACGCGGCGCGGCTGGTTTTCATCGGGCCGCAGACCTCGAGCCCGCTCATGTTTCGCAAGCACAAGGTCACGCGCACCAGCCTGCCCACCGCCCGCGTTTCGTTCAGATCATGACCTCCGTTGCTTGTCGGGGCCGTGCCATGCTCGACCGAATCATCATGGACGCGGGGTTCACGGGCGAAGTCTTGGACGGCCTGGATCTGCATCTTTGTATGCGATGCTTCCCAGAAAGCAGACACTCACACAACGCACCTACACAAACGCACGCGCACACAAACACACACACACATACACACGCATGAACTCAGACGCACACACGCACGCACACACACACACATTCACACCCACACGCACACATTGACACACGCATACGCACACACACACACACACACGCGCACGCACAGACGCACACACAGACACGCACACACACAAACACGCGCAGACACACATAGACACACATAGACACACACACATATATATACAGACACGCGCAAACACACATACAGACGACACGCTGACACACACACACACACACACACTGACACACACACACAGACACGCACAGACGTGCACACACAGACGTACACGCACAGACACGCACGCACGCACGCACGCACGCACACACATGCACGCACGCGCACGCACGCACACGCACGCACGCACACAACACAACACAGCACAACACAAGACCACAACAACAAACCACGGCACAACACAACACAACACAACAACTCACACACACTACAACACAGCACAACACACATGCACACGTACATAACGCACAACTCACAACACGCAAAGCACAACACACAACGCACGTACGCACATTTTATCTTACCGACACCTCACGCACTACACACATTGACGCGCTATCATGGAAACATACTAACGTCCTAACACACGAACGCACTCACGCACGAACGCACTAACGCACACACGGGTACACACGCGTACATGCGTACACAAACGTACGCACGTACAGACATTGTACACACGTGCTCACACACTTACACACGCGCACGCACGTACGCACGTACGCACGTTCACACACACACACGTACACACACGTACACACGCACACACACACACACACACACGTACACACACACACGCACACACCTACGCACGTACACACGCGCGCTCGCACGAACACGCACGTGTACGCACACACGCGCATATACATGCACACCCATTCACGCGCAGACGCACGCGCCCACCAGGCAAATTGCAGGCACCCCTGCCGCATCCGTCAACCGAACAATTTGAATTGACCGCGCCTGCCGTGAGCTTGGGTAGGGGGCCACATGCGAACCCCACCCCTGCCCCCCACGATTTCTGAGGGGGAGGGTGGGGTTCACTTCGCGCGGGAGCTCCCGAGCGAAGTGAACCCCACCCTCCCCCTCAGAAATCGTGGGGGGCAGGGGTGGGGTTCGCA